GCTGGATAATTGCCGCGAGCCAGCCGCATGATTTTACCGCGGCTGGCGATATTTTCGGCGTTGCGGATTAACGGGGACGATCGCATAAATTTCTGGCGGGATTGTTGAACGGTTCCTGGTTTGTAATGGAATGGGATTGAATGGCATTGGTGGTCGCATACGGTGAGGGAGATTTGGATCGCACGAATTTGAAGTGAGTGACAACCACGGTTTTGTTGTAATGTCATAATAATCTGTTAATATATTTTCGCGTGAATGTTATGTACAGGCGCAAATAATAATATTAATAATATTTAATAATAATATTAATAATAATAATTTTCATAATAATAATAATAATAATTCATAATGATTCATTCTCTCCTCCATGTATTTATATATGTATAATTCCGTTGGTAATAGTCTTTTACGTAAGGTGTGTCTATGTGTACATAGATCGGTAGGTATGTTCAATATGTATAAGGGCCGATTACACAAGAAATTCGCTAATTTGTTTTTGTTTTTTTTTCTTTATTCTGTTCCTTGCGTGTTACGGTGTACGTATTGGTTATCCGCGATGCGTATCTACAGAGAGAAGAGGAACGTCAATTACGGGTGGGATGTCCCGGCGTCGAGTTTTTCTACCACTCAGTTAGGCTTCCTTCGGAGAAAGATTCATGGATCGATCGACTCTTGTCGATCTTCGAGTCATAAACCGCGGCTCGTTCTGCTCCCGGAGCGAAACGATTTTAACGTGACCACGGACGATTTCGGAAATTTACAAATCGCTAATCTCTATTTAGCCTACTGGGGACGAGGATGCGTGTTTATCGTGTGTTTGTACGTGTACGTGTACGTGTACGCGTGATTGTGTGTCCGCCTCTGATCACGACGTATGCGTCGGTTCGCGTCCTCCGCGATTTTCACTTTTTCACTCTCGGTCGTCGAGTAAGCGACGTTGTGCGGTTTTGACGTCGACACATGGTCGACGCTGACCCTGAGGATCCCAACGCTTACCGCTCTGCGTTCGTTGAATCCCGATACAAAGAGGATTCAGAGACGACGTCGTCGTAATCTCGCGTGGATCATTTACGAAATGGTTATTCGTTTATCACTCGACAATTAGCTCTGACAGTCTAGGACAAGGAACTATTGTCTAATTCCTTGACCGAATAAAGCGTTGGATATTTCGATCATCCGCTCGACGATGATTCGAATCAGCGTCCGAGAGGCTCCAAGCGACCACCGAATAGTTTCTCGAGTAACGACTACGAACAACCTGTCCCTTCCTATTTTCCTCGTGTTCCATTTTTGGTTTCGCAGAAGCGTCGCTATGTACAAACTACGAAAGTAACATCTCACTACACTGAGAGTCCGTCGCTGAAGCAGACCGCCTGGTCGTACCAGAGTCCCAGGGAAACTATTTACACTCGGATTCAACTTTCCATCTCGGTTAAATTGCACACGTCCGCCCGTGCGATCTGTTTACCAACAACGCACCGTCAAAACTAGAATACTCTGGCCAGGCTTCCTGGAATACGTAATCGACAGCGTCGTCCGTCCCATCAGCGTTTTCTTAGGCGCTGATCCCGCCGATCTCCTTTCCCGTCGCCGCACGAGTTGTTCACCGGATTTACGGTGTCAGATGTTGATTGATTTCTCGCGGCACAGCCCTTCGCCCTACGAACAGCTTCCTCGAGTTACTTCGTTCTTTGATCTCGAGTAATCATCGGGCAGGGGTGATCGTCGAAGTCTCGCGAACTCGGTTCGCCTTTGCGAAAACGATTCTCCCCGTTTCGCGGCTTTCATCGATCTCACAACACCTCGAACCGCTTCTCGAGGAACAGCTGGTGCTCCCCGTTGCTGGTGGTTACTGCTGCACCACTGGGCACTGAAGCCCGGTAGCTCTCCCGTTCCTCCAACACAATTTCGTCCGGGTCGTCGTCCTTATCGTATCACGCCGGCGAGAACGGTCTGTGGATCTGAGGCGGTTTCGGGTTCGGCGGTGGCGTCGCAACCCTTATCAATCCCTGGCCCTGGGACTGACCCTGCGGGGTCGGCTGACTCGACGGTGGGCTGCCCCGCGAGGAGGGCGTGTGAGGGCTCGGCACCGCGACCCTCAGCGGACCCGTCACCGACAGGTTCGTCGCCATTAGCGGCGGGCTGTGCGCTTCCGATAGGCTGTCCGAGAGACGCGAGATCCCGCCGTCGGAGAGCCGCGAGCCGTCCGATAACCTGGACATTCCTTCCGGTAGCTGGTGTGGGACGTGCGGATGATGGAGCAGACCCTCGTGCGGATGCAGCCGCGGCGGCGGCAATCCTAAGGGATCCGGCAGTCTGGAAAGAAAGATTTCAGTTTCAGAGGCGAGCGCGGAGAAAAATGGCGCTGGGGGAGCGAAGGCTTATTTGGCGATGCGAAGTCTTTGGACTAGAGGATTTGAAAGTGAGGATTCGTGTTTGCAATTAATTGTGATTTAATGTTAACGTTTCAATAATAGTATCTGTTATTATTACAGCAAACATGCAATTGTCTGCTATTCCTCCGACTTCTGCGCTTCTACGGACTTATTTATGTATTTATATAGAAGCTGCAATCATTTTCTCGCGTCAATTGTCCAATTGTGATTCCTCGTTACGTGGTTAAAACAAAAAAAGAGAAAACCAAGAGGAAGCTAATAGTGAGAGGACGAGTTCACCGGCCCGTTGAACGGGTTAAAGCCAACCAGCGATCCCGCAGATAGCCAATCGACTAAATGTGTTCGATTAAGGATGGTTTTTTCGAGCGACTTACCTCGATCCGAGATCACCCCTTGGTCCCACAGCCTGGAACGGGCTCGTTTCCGTCAGCCTGAAGATCCCGCCGCCCGAGATGTTCGGATGATTGTGTTGCGGGCTGTGCGGTCCAAACCGGAAGCCCGATGGCGGGAACTTGAAGGCCGTCGCGTGGTTGAATCGAAACTGCGATTGCGACGGATCGAAGCGGAAATTTAAGGATGGCGGCGGCAGAGGTCCGAGGGGCCCGAGAGGAACAGGAGATGGTTGATGAGTCGGCGGAGGCGAGGAACTCGGCGACGGAGGCGACGTTCCGCCGAGAGAAATGTCGGAGTCCTCCGAGTCGCTGCCGCCTGGGCCGGGGCTCAGCGCGCGACGTGTACTTCCGTTTCCTGTGCCGGATTGTTGCTGCATTCTGTAACAGAACATGACGCCATAGCGTTAATAACGAGCCGATAATTTCGATTTGCTTGATCGCTTCAATCATTAAGCTCACGTTATTGCTCTAAACAGGATGTTTCGTCAGATGTTGAGGATTGTCAGTAATATATAGATTATGGAATTATGTACATTCGAAAAATTACGAAATAAATTTTCCCAAGATTCTAGACGATTTTAGGCGATTTCACATGTTGCGAAAGTGTTTATTATTTAGAAATCGAGACACTTCCCGCTGCACTAGATTGTTAGATACACGTTCCCTTAAGTGAAAATTCATTAATTTGGGTTGGTTGGTTGCACGCTGCCTATTAAAGTTGCACATGCTAAAATCTACTATCTAATAGTCAAATTATGATTCAGACATCCGAGATCTCGTGGGAAAGCCTCGGTCGGTGTGTAATCCCATCCACTGACAATGAGAATTAATATTCAATTACGCGTTGACGATGCGCGTAGGATATGCAACCTGCGTATTTCTTCGCATTCATCGAGTGACACTCTTAATCCAATTGCCAGCTTCTACGTCAACCTTTTTCTTTTCAACGAATTCAACAGCTGGAACTTCAAGCTATTAATCAAGCTATTTTCCGTCGCTGATTCGGTGCGCGCAGCGTTACGTTGTTCTTTTCCGTATCGATTACTCGAGCATGCATCTCCCGTCGCGAGGTTAACGAAAAAGGTCGCCGGCCACCAATGGCCGCGTTTATCGCGAGCCAGAAGCCGCGTAGGCGTCAGATCGCGATGGGAATTTTAATTCGTTCCCGCTTAGAACGGGAACGGGTGGGATGCACGACGCGCACCGCTGAAAAACACTTTGTTTCCAGTCATCGCCGGCGTAATTAATGAGCGGGCTCATACTTCCCAGGTAAGCAAGGATTCACGGGAGAGTAACAACGATTCCCGGCGACGCGACGTCGCGCTCTATACCGGAGGAACGATCCACCTCATTACTCGGGAGATTACGGACAGATAGAGAAAACGCCGTGGATTTCTCACGCGAGCCATCCTGCGTACGCGATAAATGACGAGCAGACGCGGCGTGATTGAAAAACGGATGTTCCGATCTGTCGACGGGAAAAATATTATTCACCGTGCCCGCACACGATGAATTATTTCTCTCGCGAGAAACGTGGAAAACATCATTCGTCTCTAGGTTTCGACAGCTTTCTGTATGCAATATTGATCCCTTTTTCTTGTCATTTTTTTATTTAAACATGTGTAGAATTATTAACTTATTTTATCATCTATGATGGTGTTACATTAGAAATGAATAGTTATGGTAAATGAATAGAAATTAATAGTCTAGAATAGTTGTTATAACTCACTTTAATTCAGCTTCAATGTGATTATGCACGCTATTAGATTATCATTGAAGGTTGGTATTATTCTATGATTCTAGAATTTCCACCGAATCTAGTCTTAATGCTTAATTTCCATGCAAAGACGATTGTTTTCAGTTCGATTCTGTTACGAAAGTAAGTTTAATGAAATTCAAAGGCACGTATGTTCGAAACAAGAACGCTTCCCGTCGACAAGGTGTAAACAGAAATACAAATCCCTCGTCTGTGCGTGAAAGACAATGGGATGTTGTGGTCGCCTTAAAAGCCTCTTCGGCTGCGGATCGATTCGACGTCGGTCCTGGCCGAGATACTCGCGTATTTTCTTTGCTAATCGAGTTTCGAGCCCGCGCAGTTACCACGGTAACACCTCGAGTGATTTCGAACAGGTTCGCAGCTCGAACGAGCATCGCGTCCGCCCTCCTTGTCCTTCAAAAAGGAGAGAGAAAAGAAGAGAAAAGGGAAAGAAGAAAAAGAAACATTCGCGAGTAGCTGATTCAGTGCCCTGATGCAACCGTGGGCTACCGATATCACACAACAATTGTAATTTTTTCATACTTGTACGAGGAAATCTGTTGCGACTGTCTTATTTCTTAGATATTTATATACACGTATAATCTTATATTAAACTTCTAAACGTCAATAAAAATCAGATTTTTAAAGTGTATGAAGACTGTTCTAAAGAGTATCAAAAGTGAAACGTGTAATACAAAAATTCCCAATTTTTAACAAGGTATAGCACTTTATAAGATCACTAAAGATAACAAAATTCTTGATGCATTACTCTTCGCGCAGCGAACCATCTAAGCAGAAATTTCAGAATATAAGCGAAGCTTTCAAAACTAACTTTCAACTACCCAGATCGATCAAACATCCCACCACCGCATCTATAATCCATGTTAGCATCGAAAGGGTTAATCCTTCCCAAACTATTTTCAAGCGCAACCAAGAAATCATATTTCCTTTCGATACTTCACAAATAACGGCGACCTTGAATGGATTTCTAATGAGAGACGTCAAACTTCTTTGACGAAGCGCGGCGTGAACACGATTTACTCGATTCCAGGGGGTTGGACGATGAAAAGGTAGCGGTGAACGATGGAACGCGATTCGAGCGGAGGCCACTCTCACGAGAGAGCCCCTCTCTTCTCGAAAACGCGTCGGACACGCTGGTAATCGAACCCTTCCTATTCTGTCCATCTCTTTCTCGCGCTCTTTCCATCTCGTTTCGCCGGTGTCTCGATTCGACGGGACACTCGACGCGTTTTAATTATGCCTCCGAGACCGCTCTCGCCTTTGTCTTCGTCCTTTCACGGGACACCCGCACGAGCGCGCTGCGACTTATTATGTGCCAGCCTCTCGTTTTGTTTCGCTAAGTGCTCTCACTCCCCCACCCCCGTCATGGCCCACCATTCAGGCCTGCCGTCTTAATATCGTGGCATTAAAGTGCGGAGGCTCAAGCTTACGGTGTCAATTTTTCGGCGTGAATGCCGACTGGAGCGGCATTAATTTCTCTGATTCCTTTGCCCCGCATGGAACGCTCGTCTCGTCCCGGGGAAAGTTTCTCCTCCGGCTCCTTTATTTCTCGTTTCTTTTCGGGTTCGTTGGATTGCCTTGTTAACTATCGTACGTGTGAGCGTA